CCTGAATTACATTCCCCCTGAATGTATGCGCTTCAGAAAAATAATTAAGACAAAATCATACTTGAGATCAGCATAATCAAGCATAATAAGCACAATTAAGGCATACTTAAGCAATGTTTAAACCAATCAAGCAATGTTTAAACAAGAAGGTGTTTTCATCAAAACAAATGTTTTCACATACTTTCCCCCTGGTTTGATGAAAAGAACCTTCAGTTCCTTTTGCGTTTTGAAGATCCGGCAACTTCACTGATTCCCTGCATGTTCCCACACAGTTCTTTGATGCGCCTTAAGTTTTCACGCCTTTCCTCTGTTTGAGCAGCATCTGAGAAGTGGTCAGCCACTGCACCTATAAATTCTGTTCCATCCAGTCCTGAGCTGGATAGGTGCTGTGCTGAGTTTTCCGGATTTCTTTGTTGTGCTTCAAGGATCAGATTAGTCTTGTGCAGATGAGAAGGGACATAAGATGCTTCTCCTTCGTTGACTGCAATAGGTAGCTGTGGTATTGGAGATGGACTGTGTTGTTGGAAAATTACTTCCATCTTGCGGTTCCCAGAATGTGCACCAATAAGTCTGAACAGCTTGTATGCTTCCTTTTGATTGTCAATGATCACCTTCAAGTAGTCTTTGGTTACTACTTGATTTGCTGAAGCTATAGCTAGGGCTGATCTGATGTCCATTTAGAGAAGGGACATCTGTTTTTGCAGACCAATTGTGACATTTGCTATTTGCTCCTTGACTTTGTTGAATTCATTGAATTGCAGTTGACTGTGAGAGGTGTATATTTCCATCGTATTGCTCACAGTTTTACTCAATAGAGAGATGATCTCTAGAGTCTTTTCTACTGATTTACTTATCTCTTTGAGATCAGCGCTGTGTTTCTTTTCAGATTTCTCTATCAGCTCAGTGTGTTTGGCTTCCATTAGCTCTATCTCTTGCCTAAAGGAGGCATGTTGAGATGCTAGGGCTGACTCAATCAGCCCTTGGACCTTCCTTGTCCAGGTTTCCGGTATCTCATCCGGAAGAGTAGGAGTGGAAGAGCTATGGAAGGGAAAATTGGTTACCTGATGAGGAGATGATGTCCTTTGAAAGAGTTGCAAAGGAAGAGATTCAGCATCTTCTTGCACATCTTCTTCATCAGTGATCTTTAGTGTCCTCTCAGATTCTCCTTCTGCTTCATCAAGTGCAAAATTTGATATGTATCTTGAGAGTGAGTCACTATCTTCAGCTTCATTTGGTTCTTCAAAAATGGCTATTGGAGTTTGAGAGACCTCCTCTTCTGCCATCTGAGATTCC